AGGAAATTGTTTTGCGAGCCGTGCTTTTGTTCAGTATTTAAATTGCAATTATGTTTTGACAGTTAAGCGTACGGTATAGTGAATGTCCTCAATAGAAGTTAATTCAATTATTCATTTTAATTATATATAAAATTTCTTGTAACTTAAAACCATTGCTTACATAACACTTCAAATATACGAGCATTTTATTTGTGTTTTACTGTATATCGAGAGATGAGGGAAAAGACGATAAATCTTTGAATCTCAGCGCAAAGTAATACTCAACGCAAAATCGATGCCAACAAATAAAGTGTAATTCATTTCATGTTCATTGCTATTGCATACCAATTGTGTCCAACAATTCAAACCCATTTCTTTGATTAAACTTTGTATAAAAAGCTCTCTAAAGGATTGTTTAAAATATTTAGTGCCCAGAGATTTAAAGTTATAAAATTCAAACATGAAATAAAATGCTTTATTCGAAACTGTATTTCTATTAGATTTTATTAGAGTTTTTAAAAGTCATTTAAATTGTTTTGAATGAATAAAACATTAAATGAGTGAAAAACTTATTTTGCGGAAGAATTTATTCTTAATGGCAATTATTATGCAATTTATTATTGCAAATCAGAAAATAGAAGTAAATATATCTCAATGTCATCTAATTTGAGGATTTCAATGAATGTGAAGTACATTAATGTCGGATTGAATTAAAATTTAATGATTAAATGTGTAATAATATCTAAAATGTTTATAACTTATTAAAATTGAATATATTTTCTATTAATAAATTTTGTGCAATTTTATGTTATTTATTCTAGAGGTCAAAGAATACAACGGTATATGTATTGGTTTACACAACCAATTGCCTCAGAGAAGGGGTTATTTGCAGGGAAATTGGTATTCAATATAATAATCAATTCATCAAATAATAAGAAATTGAAAAAACAAAACAAATACAGGAAATTAGCGAAGAATTTAGAAAAAATTAATTTATCAATTAAAAAGTCGGTTAATAAAAGAGCGTTTTGTTCATATATGAGACAAATATTATTGAAATAAATACTATTGTGAATAATGTGTGCATTTTTTATCCAACAGTTAAATAAATAAAGATCTCATTGAATTTATTTCATGCGAAACGGGTTTTCCCAGAATCCCAGCAAATATCACATTTATATTACATTAGAAAATCACTTTTGCATTAAATCATTAACAAAACCGTATGTTTTCTAAAAGCTTTTATTAATCAAAATAAATTCATTTATTAAATTAAATTTCATTTATAAATAAAATTGTTTTCAAATAATTTTCAAAATAAGTTGAGATTATATGACCGGTATATAATTTTATATTAAATTAATTTAATTAAATCATTTTGAAAACTCCCAAATCCATTATATAAACGAGATATCAAATTAAGAAAACAATTCAATAAATTAATGTCCGGTTGTTATGAGAGTCCGTAGGTTTCGATCAAAGCCTTAGCGCGGGTCACATATGCAGACTTTGCCTCATCTTTGGACATACCTATCATTGAAAACAAATCATTATATTTAACATATATTCTGTAAATTAAAACTATAAATCAAATAAACAAATTTCAAATTTAAAGACAATTAATGGCAAGAATGTGTGGATGGGTTCATACCTTTCTTGCTGTTCCAGGCGTCCCATTTGGCCTTTCCTTTCAGGTCTAACATTCCCGGACGGGCTGTCAATAAGTAAATAAAACATTATTAATAACCAATTAATTAGTGGACACTTGTTTTGGTCATTACTAGTATTGCAATCGCCTTCAGTGGCCTGTTTGTAGAGGGCGTATACCTCCAGCATTTCCTGGTCGGTAGGCCTGGTCTTCAATTTCTTCACGTCTTCGACGGCCTTCTGGAACTGCTTCAGACAATAAGACATTACAATACATCCAATACAACGAGTGGTTTGAATTCACTACTTGTCAGCCAAACATATGGCAATGACTTTCGTTTAGTTTTAATTATGTATAATATTTGCATCAAATGACCGGTAAATTACTGTTAGATTTACAATTAAAGACAATTTAAATTTAATAAGTAATCAATAGTTTATTGATTTACTTATATTTCCAATAATATAATTTTTCATTCAATTTGACACAAATTACTGAATCAATTGCTAAATGAATGTAAATTTTAAATATAATTTTAAAAAGAAACAAAAATTGGTTAAAATTTGAAACAAAATATTTGACAAAATAATTAAAAGAGACATAAAATCTACATAAAAGTCAATTGAATACCTGTTCGGCTGACATGTCTTCAAATGGTGTTTCAAATATGAATTCAAATTAATATAAAATATATATTTTATCACAATTTAAGTAATGATAACAGAGTTTTGATAGAGAAATAAGCGATAATTTCTCTGACAATCAGTTTTTTAATTATGAAATTTTTCCTCAAAAATCACACCAAAAATGAGTGACAAATGATTTGATAGAGAAATAAATGGGGACTAAAAGTGTGGACTAAAACTGTGTCTGAACTAAAACTGGTGTTTTATAAACTCGTTTCGCAATTAAATTTAAAGTTACACTCAATTTGACGTCACTTTACGACAGATATGATGGCCTGATATGAGACCAATCCATGCCATCCCTCCCATAGACTCTACTGTACTGTACATCACATTATGAGACCATATATACAGCGCTCCACCTCTCGGCCCAACCAATTGTATAGCCATTAATGCACTTATGTTTGCCATTACTTCCAATACTTCCTATGATTTTTGTTTTTTCGTTTATAAAAAGGTGTTAAAAGTTTTGAATTTTTCCACATTTTTAAATGACATGTAAATTATGTTTGAATTTTAATTATGTTTTAGTTTTACTTTTGACTTTCACACCAATTGTGTCTCAATCTCTCTCAACATATGTGTCATGTTTTGCACGCATTTTGAATATTATTCACATTTTTAGTACTTTTACACAATTTTCCCGTAAAATACTGTTTTAATTATACAATAAATACAATTCTACAGTAATTTAATCGCCGTTAAAATAGTTATGATAGAAATAAAGTTAGAGAGAGAGAGAGAGAGAGAGAGAGAGAGAGA